CCTGATGTCCAAAACTTAAATGAAAAGGTAGGTGTTGTAAATTTTGATTGGAGGCCAAACAAAACTCTCTTTTTTGATGCTGTTGGTAGGTTTTATTTTAAAAGGGTGCTTACATGCCTTTTTAAATCTGGAAAACGACACTTCCCTGGCACGACATGCAGTCATGTCAGAAACAGCTGCACTTCTCAGCTGTAGTTACTACCAACTTTCTGGAAGCCATTGCTCCCAAGGCAGACCCAGCACAAGGAACTCTTTAAGAACTCTCTAGTCTCAAGAGGACATCAATGTAAATTCAGAAAGATTAACCCCAGCCTCCTTCATCAGTAACTTAAACTAAGCAGGGCAACTTTGCCTTGGAGCGGTGTTGCAGAATGACTCTAAGAGCAGAACCATAGAGTTCTGGAGGACTGTGCAAGCAAGGCAGGGGGTGGCCCCCACAGGTGGCCGGAGACCGGACCTGGGAGGAGAATGTGGAGGAAGCTGTGGGGGCTAACCAATACTGTTATGCCAAGAAGGAGTGGCTGAATACCACTCCTATATATGTGTGAACTGCGTCACAAATAAAGGAGAAGTTGCTTATCACCCATATTGGGTTGGCCTGTCTGCTTCTCCTCGCCGCTTACAGAGCGGATGCCCTGGAGTGCTCACATATCCTTTGCATCACCATGGAACAGGAAGGGATTTGTATTCTGCGGGGCAGCAATGAGTACCTGATAGCACCTTCAGCCAGACCTGACAGGTCTGGAAGAGATCATCCATCTAGGTCTTTAGTCTTAAGATCTGTGTTAAACTATATAAAGGGCTAGACATAGTACTATGTTGTGTGAGAGGTGGCGTGCTTTGGAACAGGCCATTGACACATAGGCAGGATGTGGCCAAAGGAAGAGTTTCAATGCTTTTGCCATAGAGGAGCAAAGCAAGGGTCTCAGTGCAACACATGGAGCCCAACAAATGGCTCCAGCAAGCTATGGGCTGCCATTGTATTCTTCAAGTCAGGTGAGCGGAACCTCTAACTGTCAGTGGCACCATCTTTGCAGAGACCAGACCACTGCCTCTTTGGAAAAATCCCTTCCTATGTTCAGTGTTCATATGATGTCAAACATTTTCTTTCCCCCAGGAGCATACCTCAGGCCCTCAGAGGAGACCTGACATAAGCATCTTCCTTTCTTATTTCAGGTCTGCGGTGTGCCAGGAGACAAGCCCTGTGTCACAGCAGCCTGTGGGGGAGCTTTGTGTCGGGACAGTCATGGACTCAGGCAGTGCGGTGGCCCAAACTGCAGCGGGGCTCTTCCTCTCTCCACTGAAGCCTTCAGGAAAGCTGAGGAGACTGCTGTGCTGCTAAATAACTTGACTACTCAGCTACAGGAACCTGAGAATCAGGTGCTGTATATCAAACCTACATTTGTTCAGTGAAATAGATGGAGGATGAGATTTGGGAGGTCACAAATCTACAAAAACTCACCCTGTCCCAGCATCACAGACCTATCACAGTTCAGTGCCAGTAGTATTAAGCACCAGTCCCACCAAGAGACTGTAGCTTTGGCTATGCCTTCCTCTTCCGCAGAGCGTCCAAGATCTTACGGTTCATGGTGCACTGTGTCTATGGAATTCGGTGGTATCAGGCTAGTATTGTCTATATTTTTATAGGGAAAGATTCAACTGGCACCATTTGTCAGTAGCCTCAGTATGGCCCATGCTTATTGCAAGGGGATTACTGCTGTGCATAGGGTTAAGTTCTATTTATACAGCTTCATATTACTCTTATGTTTGCCATTAAATAATTTTTGCAAATAATTTCAAGACAAAGCTTTTCTGCCCCTGGTGATATTTAGAAGGGGATCAAGTAGTCAGCTCTACTGCACGGCAGTAGTGAAAAATAACTCAAGCAAAGTGTGGCTGATGCAACATGGGCCAAGGAAACAAAATAGACAAATCCCAAAACACCAGTAAAGACAGTTTGTTCTTATTAACAATCACAGCCAATGCCTGTCGAAGTTACAAGCACACACATTTCCCAACAGAAATGTCATTCTGCTGTGGCTTTGTCCTGTTCCTGAAGGGTGCCTGGACATCCATTTCCTCTTCTTAAAATGTACCCATTCTGCATCACAACTAACTGGTTTGGAAATGATCAGTCAGGGCACATGCCTGGGACCCCAGGACACAAAAGGGAAGCAGCAAAAGGCATCTACTGAGGTGGTGAGCACCAGGCTGCCAGGACATTTTCCTTGGTGCTCCCCAGCCTCAGGCAGCTCTGTGATAATATCAGTGAAATATTTTGAGATGTTTCGGAACTAAAAACATCACCATTTTTCATGTTGCATGGGGAAACAGCAAACCTCTTCCCTCCACAGACTGCAGAGAGGCAGTGCCTGTGCATTTCCTTAAGGCAAAGCATAGTCCCCAGCAAAGCAAAATAATGATGGAATTCAATGGTTAATCTAAAGCTGTCATTTAAGTTATCAACAATAATAATTTAATGGTAAAATGTAACTTTTAAAGACAAGCCTTAAACTCTACCTTCCTTATTTGTGTCCTCTTAAGTTGTATTTTTAACAGCAAGTCCAATGTGAAAAGGCAAATGGAATTGCATGCCTTTTCTGTGCTGAATCCAATCACTGACATACTGCAGTACTACAACAGAAGATAACAGCACCTTCTTTTAGAAACAGAAGGAGCTGTGGTTTAGCAGAAAATAATGAAGAGAAAATAATGTTTGATTTAGGCTTTTCCTGAGACCAGATGAAGGCCATTTTGTAGCAACTTCTGGAGTCCTCCAAAGGGGACTCCTGCTATTTTTCAAAGTCACATCAAGTGATTCCAGCTAAGGCCTAGATCAAAATAACCTTTGTGCCAGACCTCAACATGCCAAGCAATGATAGATAACCTGCAGAAAATGGCTCTGCTATTTCTAATAACATTTCCAGGTTGAAAGCATTAGAAAAATGGCAGAATACAGCAAGTTGAAAGGCTCACAATTTAATGCACAACTGGAGAGGACTAAGAATCAAATTGAAGTGGATGGAGAGATCACTAAGGAGTTCATCCGAAAAGTGAAAGACTTCTTGTTAGGTAAATATACAGAGTTCTTTCTGACTCATTTTTAATATATATTCCAATATAATATAGCATAGTAGGTGGCCAGAAAATTATCTAACTGCATATACAGAAAATTTGTCTACCTCCTGATCTGTGCGATCTTCTTCAATCCCCTTTTTTCTAGTGCCTGTTTCTACCAGGTGACAGTACACTGTTATCATTTCCCAACAGATCTGTTACATTCTGATTGTCATCTTTTATTAATGCACTTCATTTGAAACATCAAGTAATTCCCTCAGATCTTGGTTTGTTTGAATAAAGGACTACTTAAATAATTTCATACAATATATCAAGACCAGGCACGTCCAATGCATCCTCAAATTGTTATTCCACCCCCTTCTTCCAGGCCCATAAATAGAGGCTCTCCATAGGGAGCGTGGGAATTAGGACACATACCACTCCATCGTCTCCATAAAGGTGTAGCTCAAGGAATCAAAGGATTCTGGTAGAACTTCACAGCTTTCATAAAGAATAACTAAACAACCATACATGCACTAAAACTTTTTCCACCCTCACGACTGCAGAAAACTGCTGTAAGAAACAGACCCTTAGATTTTTTTTTACCAGATGCACATCAAAAGAGTTCAAATGTGGTGGGATTCTTTTAATCTCTTAAAAGAATCATCTCATAAATTTCTAAGGATTCCATGTTGGCAATCCTTTGGCATTCATATCTCTATCTCCATACGGGAGCAAAGGCAGAGGACACAGGACTTTGTTTAGGAATATTTAAGTTATTTTATTGAATTGGAAGAAAAACTCCATTTAAATCCTTAAGATCTCAGATTTTTATTTGACAGCAATTGAAAATTCTACCTTTGGCTCTTCTTTGTTTCTCAGCAGACATACAGCATTTAGGAACAATTATAACGCATTTTTTAAAATGAATTATTGTTTTGTAAATTGAAGTTTAAGAACAGTAGCAGCTGAGACAAGTGCAGTGACATTAAATCTGCTGAGCTCTACATTGACATGAATGGTAACTTTAATATATTTCTACAGAAAATAGCTCTCAGGAATGCACTACTGATTGCACAGCAAATGCTTGTAATTCTTGGTGAGTTACTTTGGAACATTAGCACAAACATTTAATATGTTTCAATTGTTTAATCACTGAAGAAGGTCTTGTCTATAAAGTGAAATGAGCAAAAACCAGATGCAGCGATGAGATGTCACAAGGCATTGACTACTCTAACTGCATGTGCCTGTGCCTCTTCATAAAGAACTAGGAAAAGCTCTTTATAAGGGGAGTTGTCAAAATACATTTTTTCTACTGTAAATTCCCATCCTATCCACATCTGACCCAAGTTCCCTCTGTAGCTTAGCCCTTCTCATTAACCACGGAAGGAACCACTTTCTCAATATTGTGGTGACTCCAAGGAAGGGATTACACCCACTGGCCGGCTTGGAAAGCTCCATTCACACCCCAGTCTCTCCAGCTCCTCTTTGATCTGAGGGCCAAGGGAAAATGGGCTCTGACACATCTAGCTGTGTTGTGCACTGATTTAAAACCTTCTACAGGCTCAGTTCTACATAAAAAAAAATTAATAACACAGTTCAAAGTGGGTTCAAATCCTCATTTTAGCCAGTTCTGACAACACTAACAGCAGTACCTGGAAGCATAATATTAAATTACAAAATGTTGGAGATAATTCTCTTCCCCCCTTGCTGTGCCTGTCAGCTTTATTCTCCCACATAACTAAAAGGGTAGGCAGCCATAATGATCATTTACATTCCACTGGGAGGAAAGAGCTGTTTCAGGATACCCTCAGCTCCATTTCTATTGCAGATGAGAGTGTGCCTCCAGAAGATATCGAGAAGGTGGCAAATTACGTTCTGCAAATAAACCTTCCCCTGACTCCACAAGAGCTCACAGGCATGCTTGGCATTATGGACCACTGTGAGAAGTACAAGCTGGATGCACTTAAGAGAAACAGAAAATGGGAGGAAGCTCAGATACTGCTGAGGGAGGCACAAGAAGCTGAGTGAGTAGGGTATTCTCATACTGATGTGCCAACTCCAGCAGGGTGGCACTGTGCCTGTAGGGCTGCTCCATACACTAGGCAGCATCCCAGTAACACTGGAGGGAATGTTCAGATGACAGCAGATTTCAGCTTGCCATTTGCAGCAGGAACAAGCCACTGACCACTGGGCTGCAGCAGCCAACATGCTGCAAGGAGACAGCTCCCACCAGCTCCTGGCTCCTCTGCCTGCTGAGTCAAAGAGCCCAGAGCAGCTACTTACTTTCACATTGGACCTAGTAAAGCATTACATCTGGTTCACTGGGAGGTTTAAATATGGGTGAGAAAGAACTAAAAAGAATTGAGGAGGGAGAAAACATGTTTACCTGTGAGTCTTCTTTACTAGCAAAGCAGTGCACCACCAGGCAGCCTGCAGCATCCAGCCTCACCTTTAACACAGCAGCTCACATGCTACCACACAAAGTCCCCTACCAAGGTTTTGCTTTGTCAACTTAAGAACCACAATTTTAATGGTTGTTGTTGGACTTGAGGGAACATTTCTGCATGCAAGCATGGGTGCATTTGAAACATGTTTTTGCTTTGCTCTCCACGCCACAATACTACACATGCTTCTATCCTTCCATTTCAGCAAAGCAGCTAATGCTCTTCTGCCTGTGGATGAAATTAATAATAAACTTAAAAATGTTGTGAAATCCCAAAGACACTCCAAAAATACCATCATAAAGTTAAATGAAGAGATACAAGGCATCAGAACACAGATCTCACAGGTATCTTCTGTAAAACTTTTATTTACTACATACATTATAGAAAAAGATACTTAATCTCAAATTTTCCTTAATGTAAACTTAAATAAAACAAGAATGTGGCGCAAATCTGACACAGTTTCCATAATGCTTAAAGGTCTCTTCTTCTTAATCAGTTGACATTAATCTCCCTCATTACTACACTCTCCAATCTGGCTTGATGTTGCATAAGAAACCACAATTACTCTGTTTTAGGCTGAGAACCAAGTGAATAAGACAAATGACAAACTAAATGACTTGTCAGCAAAACAGTCTGAAATGGAAGATGAAATTGCAACACTGCAGGCAAAAATGCTGATGAACAAGAATCAAGCTACAAAGGCAAGAGCAGGGGCAGAAGCAGCACACAAGCGAGCCCAGAACATTGATAATGTAAGCCCTTCTGTCATGCGTTAAGGGAAAAAAAGGTTTCTTTCATGTTTAATAGTACTTTTGCTTCAGAAGTGCCATTGTGTTACCCCCCTCTCCTCAAAACTGTTATGTTTTTCTTATGCCATGCAGTGTAAAATGTAACAGGTAAGAGTAATTTATTTTTTTATCTTAAGGCTTCTAGCATATAACACTTCTGTTTGCTTGAATGAAAACAAACGTATTTCTCTGGCTACTCTGTGACATTCTTCCTTGCACAGTGTATAAGACTTAGTCACCATGGGCACCAGTAAACACAACAGAACAAATCACAAAACCAGATATTAAAATATGCTAGTGATGTAAGCAGCCTGGCCATTCATCCCATGCCATTCTCCTTCAGAGGAAATTGCTCTGGGAGTTACTTGGAATTTTTGGTAGGCTGGGTGCTCTCAATTTTTGAGGATGTGCTAAAATTGCAAGAAGAACCAGGTACCCACAGTGCAAGCCTGGAGCATGACCAAGCTTCCAGGTTAAAAAAAACTTAGTCAAAATCTAAACTGCAGTCTCAACAGCACCTAAATCAGCAGGGAATGGATTATCCAGTAAATATTCCTACAGACAGTGTTCCTACAGATAACTTGCCTCCTGGCAAGATTAAATTTACAGAAAAGCCCTATTAAAAGAAGTAAAAATAGCATAACCTTTAAAAAGTTTAAACCATATTTTCTTACACCCTCCCCTCCCTTTTAGACTGCTCCACTGACTATTTTTTTTAATTGATTTCTATGAGGTTTTGTAAAGCATTGTTCCACGTACACTCATCATGGATGTTTTATTTAAGAGAATGAGGGATTTAAAGTTTGGTTCAAAGAGGATATACAAAGAAAGTATGTACCCTCCAGTACTCCAGATTAAGTGTGAGATGCTTTTAAACCAAGTAACATCATTTTGCTACAGGAGTTTGCTGACATTAAAAGAAAGTACAGCATTCTTCAAGAAAAGCTGAAAGCCCAAGGACCTCCAAAAGCAACACTAGAAAAAGTGAAGCAGCTGAAAGAAGCAGCAGAGAAACTGGCTGAGGAGACTGAGAAGAAAATTAAAAGAATAACAGGTGGTGTTATTGCTTCAATAGCGAGAGGTGAAAATTGTGACAGCCATGAATTCAGCTGAAGCCCTTGCCCACAGACACTGACAGACCAGGATCACCTGAAACAGGGTTTAAAACAGTTTAACTAGTGAGAATCCCTGCTTGAAGCTACTCAATCAGTTTAAAAGTAGTTGAATTGAGTTGGCTTATGTACTTTTTCTGACATATACACTCAGGGACTTGCAGTGATTTGATTCAGTCAGTTTAAAAACAGGACAAGTGCAAAGTCTGCTAAAACTTTGCTCCAGGTTTAGCTGGAAGCCTTGATTTATGCGCTTGCTTTGGGCATTTGGACCTTAAATCTTTACTATGCATTCTATTTTTTTCTTACCCAAGTGATGTCTTGTGTTGTGGAGCTGCAGGATAGCTGTTTTCCACCAGTCCCTACTTCAGTCAGTTCTCTGAGCAACAGCAGAACTAACCAGATACAAATACTGGCTTTTGGAGACTGAAGCTGACATGCCCTGGGGCTGCAGGGCTGTGGCTGAGAGGGGTCACGGGCAGTGGAGACTCTGGCTGCTGTGGCCAGACTGGCACCAGTTCTCACACAATCTCTTGTGTGGGTTTAGAGGGTCACCAAAAACTAAGAGCACATCTCATTTAATTGCACACAGGGACCCTAATTCTGCTTGCAGTGAAGGTCTGGGCATCCCCACTAGGAATCATTTGGCTTAGGATCTTGCCAGGCTCAATGTCCAAAAATACTATGTAACATCAGCAAAACTGAAGCATTTGCTCCATCCTAGGAGCAAATTCTTCAGGATAGGATCTGAATAAATATTTTGAGAATATACCTTGATGAAAAGCATTAAGAGCATCCCAGTTACTCCGAAGGCCCCAATGACAAGTGGGTTGGAAACAGGCAGTGAAAAATGTGGTTTTGACTCACTACCAGTATGTTTACATTGGTGTAGCTTCACAGGGACCAGCAGAAAACATTCCTGTAAATGAGGAAGACCTAGCCTCATTATGCCCAAATTATCCAGGCTTTACACACATCAGTGGGCACACTGTTCCTCTAAGTGTTTCCACTTAAACCAACTCCTTTAAGAGCTCCATGTCCTGCCCTATACCAGCTGACAGACAAAAGCACATGCTGAGAAATTAATTTATTTAAGGCTGTCACATTTTTCTTGCTATGCAGAAGACAGATTTTTCCTTCCAGTTGCATATATAACATTCCCCATTTGAAATGGGCATATTACCTCTTAAACTCCTGGGAAAAGAAATGCTGTTAATCCATGCGTTTTACTTACACAACATACATAAGGATCATTGCATGTCTCTTCCAGATTTGGAGAAGAAGCTTCAGGATCTGAATCAAACCAAACAAGACAAGGCAGAGCAATTGAGACAACTAGAGGAACAAGTGATAGCCATTAAAAATGAAATCATGGAGCAGGAAAGCAAGTATGCAACATGCAAAAGTTAGGGTCTGAACAGACCATCAGGTAAAATATAACTGAAGTCTCTGTGCTTACCACCTCCTGAGCTTCCTGGCACAGAGGGATGTCCTCCCTAAATAAATCTGAAGGTTCCTACTGTATTTTGGCAGTGAATAATGTAATTTTCTTTTGGGTATTTTTTGTCCAGCTGAGTTTATATGAAAATAGGAAATACCTTTTAATAAACCATCTGATTAAGTAATCAGGATGTAATCTTTAAGGGAGCTTTGTAATACATCCCCATACACAGCCTAGAGCTTCTTGCTGTAGGGGGTTGGAAATGCAAAAGGAGTATTTTGCAGAGAGTAACTGCCTCAAAGACAGACTCCCAAAACCTTCTGTGTTCTGCTGAACCCTCACAATAACCTGTGGCTGTGTCACAGCCCTGCATGGGTCTGCACAGACCAGGATGTGGTGATGCAGATGAAGGGCTGCAGGCTTCGGTAGCCATCTCTGCTGACAACTGTCAGTGTCCTCAGGGTACTGTCACTCCTCCCCATCCCCATCTCTTCTCTGAGACGGAGCAGGGGGAGCACTAGGAATCACTGACCATATGGGGGTCCCCCTATGCTTGCTGAAAATGCACACATAGCTCCATGAATACTAAACCATCAGAGGTGGACAACAGGGAGACAATACCCCCGTGCCCACTGGATGGCAGTGCACTGATGTTTAATGCTGAAACCTTCAAAATCATTGTCAATGCCCCTCCTGCAATACCTATTTTTATTATGCAGATTCTAAGGGGTTTCCCACATTTTAGTTAATGCAACTAACAGTTGTAAAATGACTCTATCTCTTTGGTTTAAGCAGTGAGTCTAAAGGCCCCACAAATGTTGAAAAGCAGTTTCTCCAGCTCTTCTCCAACATGCAGCATCTCACAGAATTCAGAGTTAACTGAGTAGTTTCTTATAGCCATTAAGAACATAGAAATTGTCCTAAATTTTCAATTCCTTTTTTTATATATATAAAGAAGGAGAATGGGGCTAAGCAATTGCTACAGAAGTGCTAGAGTTTTAAAAAGGCTGAAGGGAGTTATGCCTTGATTCTAAAATCCCACCGTTGGTATACATATTTCTGCAGGATGCTGAACAGACTGACAATGTCTCTTCCTCAGTTAAAACCAGTTGTGTCATTCCTGGCTGGATTGTCCCACAGCAAGCATCACAGGAGCAGCCCAGCACTGCTTCAGAGCTTGGGTGCAGCCCAGAGCACATCCGTAAAACAAGGAATGCTCTGCAGGAATACAAGGCTCTTATAATTTACCCATCCTCCTGTCAGCAGCACCCATAAAGCAATCCTGATTGATCTGAGGGAGATAAATCATCCACAGTTATCACTCTGTGTTTAGAAGAGCTAAAGTAGCATTTGTATGCAGTGGAGACTTGCATGGGAATTGCTGGCATGGATAAGATTTCAGAGATACTCCTTTAACTCAAACCAGCTGTGCTCCAGGGCAGTGTGCAACACACATTACTCATCTAATAGCTTCTACTGTGAAAATGATGGAATCAAATTATAACTTTGATATAATCCAACAAAGACACCTGAATGCAGTATGCACATAATTTCCATTTTATTTTTTATCTGATTTTTAGCACTTTAAAAACTCACCTGTGAGGTGTGAGGCTTCTTTATAAGTCCCTAGGCTGTAATCAGATGAATGTATTTAGATTGACTTTGCCATAATGAAATTGAGCATTTCTGTTTTACTCAGAGCACACAACTCACCAAGCTGCTCACAAATGGGTCTGCAGGTAATGAAGGTTTCAATGCACTGCACCTGAAACAGGCAACCTGAAGGGTTTAGATAAATTCCCAACAGCATTCACGGCTTTAACAATCCGAATTCACAAGCAGAAAGTTGAAAGAGAATGTCCTCCTAAAATCACTGTTGGCTGTGAGAGTTGCCATATGGCTTTCGACAAGCTGCAAGGATGCAAAGTCTGTAAACAGTTAAACAGGCCTGGAGGGGAGATGTATCCATGTGGGAAAACAGAGATCGCTGGATAAAAACAGAAACAGGAAGAAGAAAGTCAGCATGGAGTCTAAGCTCCCCTGCCTTCTTCCAAGCATGCTCAGACACACAAAGGGAGCAGACCAGAAGCTACAGAATACCAAATCCATCCTGTGACAGCTTCTGACACTTACAGCTGTGTAGCATTCCCCACTGAAAGTGACACAAAAGCTTTTAAAATGGTTTTGCAAAGCTAATTTGTGGGAAAATGCTGCATCTGGATTGAAAATACCTATTTTTAGTTACCCCGACTCTCCTTCTTATGGGCAGAATGGTTTCAGAAAACTTTCTTGACAAAAAATACTGAATTCAGTATCTTGCTGTAGAGCATTTTGAATTCAATGACATTAATCAATATAAAAACAACAATCAAATTTACATATAATCCAAGATAAATTTAATCAAAAGTTACTTCATTAGCTCTCTTTGTTAGGCATTCAACCTCTGCACTGTTACAAAAAAATGGGTGATCAAGTGGGTCTCACTGAGGTTAAATTCCGAAATTTGGCTCTTTGAGAAGACTCCAAATGCAGCACAAAGACACCCAGGACTGTAAAGCTGCTTCACCAACCACTAGGATAGGACACGACACAAAACTGAATTTTTATCATTTGAAAAATCAAATTAGAATCATGGACTGGTTTGGGTTGGAAGGGACCTTAAAGCTCAACCAGTTCCAACCCCCTGCCATGGGCAGGGACACCTTCCACTAGCCCAGGTTGCTCAAAGCCCCATTCAACCTGGCCTTGAACACTGCCAGGAATGGGGCAGCCACGGCTTCTCTGGGCAACCTGTGCCAGGGCCTCACCACCCTCACAGGGAAGAATTTCTTCCTAATGTCTAAATCTCCCCTCCGTCAGCTTAAAGCCATCCCACTGATCACTATTGCTCATGAGCACTGCAGAGAGGGATGGACACAAACAAGTTCACTGGATCTAATGACTCACACAGCGAATACTGGTAGTTTCAGCTGCCTCTGAAACGTGACCTCGGTTATGGGTGACAGTGGCCATTCCGGTCCATGGCTGCAACTCCAAGTCAATCCCTGATGCCACACAGCAGGGTCACCCCTAGGCTGGAATGCAGTGTGTTCCATTTGCAGCAAGGCACAAAAGGAGCCTAGTCACAGGGCAAGGAGCTCCAGAGGGCAACATTAGCCCACTTCAGGTTTAGGGAAGAATGGGACTTCTATACAGCTATGAAGCACAAAAAAGATGAGAAAACTGATAAAAATTGAAAAAAATATGGGACAGAAAAAAATCCAATGGCAATGGAACACTGTCCTTGCACAGTCACACATGGAGCGATGCCACTGCCTGTCTGCCATGGCCTGGAGGAGTTCCTAACCTCTGCAAACAGTTTCTGTCAGTGGGACGAAAAAGTTTGTTGTGCTGAAGCTTAAAAACAAAGCTGTGCTGTGATTTACATGACAGGATTGTGAAGCTGAATTAGTTTTGTGAATTTAGAAAACCACATTGCAGAAGAGGTTTAGAATTACAATACCTGCCATGTCAACTTAAAATGGTTTAATTTCCTGGATGTCTTTAATGAAACAGCCCCACTAGTTCTTCAATTAAGAGTCCTGAGTTATGTTTCAGAACTGGTGTTTAACCTTTAGGGCAAGTCACTTGGTATCTCTCTGTTTCTGCTTATCCATCTGTAAAATGAGGACTAACATATTTACCTACCTCGGCAGGGTTTGCTGGACGGACAGAGGGCAGTGTGTTTCCACTGCACTGCAAATAGCGAGGGCAAAGTGTTCTTGAGGGACACTGGTACCTGGTAAAGATTTACACGAGTTTAAGTGTTGCACGTGCACAGGCAAAACTCCAGTGTATAAACCCAGGGATGCGTCCCAGCCTGCATCCAGCTACAGCCATGATCTTCCAACACATCCATCCTTCTTACCCACTCCTTGATGTTTATTTACCAGTAAACCTTTCCCCTGGTGCCAAAGAGACTCTGCCACCAAGCGATGAAGCCATCATGTCTCTGGCACAGCCCAGGGAACTGAAGTGGGTTCAGCTCCAGCAGAGCCATTAACCCCTTGCAGCCACCCCAGCACCCCTGGGAAGGCAGTAGCACTGCATGCTCCCTGACAATGAGAAACAGCCTGGAAGAGCCTAACCCTGGCTCAACGGCCCTGCCAGGGACAGACCCAGCCACGTATGAGCCAGGAATGGCAATAGGAGCGACCTTTGTTGGCACCACATCACCAGGAGATTCAGGGCCACTGAACATCACAAACAACAGTTGCCAACCCTCTGGCCCTTTGCTCGGTTCTGGGCCTTGCCACATGGGTATGCTTGCTCCATCCATCCATCCATCCATCCATCCATCCACCCACCCATCCATCCCTCTTTCCCTCTCTCCCTCCCGGATGCCCAGCCCCACCAGCAGTAGTCAGGATTGGGTCAAACCCCCCATTTCCGCAGTTTCCCCACAGAGAGGGGTCACCCCACCGGTGATATTCCTCCACCCCGCCGATTGCTGTACCCTGCCCAGAGCCCGCTCCCAAACCCGGGAAGCAGCGAGGAGGGCACGATCTGTAACAGTGGTGGTGCGCAGGAGTTCCCCTGCTCGCCCCTCGGAGCTCCCCAGTGCAGCAGCGCGGGCGACCCTCTCCCCCAGCCTGCCCCAGCGGCTGGGTTACCTTTCCTCGACGGCAGCAGTTTACCCGCTCCCTCCGGCGGGGCCGGCGCTGCGGCGGGGCGGGGGGCCGGGGCGGGCGGGGCCGCGGGGGGCGGAGGAGGAGGAGGGCCGGGGGCGCCGGCGGTGCGAAGCCGCTCCCCGGGAACCGTGGGGAGCTGCAGCGCCTGCGTGCAGGAGCAGCAGCGTTCGGCGGTAGCGTGGAGGGGAAGCCCGGTCCCGCCGCGTCCCGTCCCGTCGGTGCCTGCCGCCTTGCCATGGGCCGCCTCCTCCTGTACCTCTGCTGCTGCCTCGGTAACTCCCGACCCGCTCCGCTCCCGCCGCCGTCGGGGCACGGCGGGCTGGGCGAGCCGCTGCAGCGCCCGCCGGGGCGGCTCGGGCTCCCTGCCTGACCGCGCTCCCGCTTCTCTTTCTCACCTCTCTCTTCTCTCCGCGGGCGCGCAGCGCTGTGGTCCGCGGCCGCGCAGGAGCCCGAGTACAGCTACGGCTGCGCCGAGGGCAGCTGCTACCCCGCCACCGGCGACCTGCTCATCGGCCGCGCCGCCCGCCTGTCCGCCTCCTCCACCTGCGGCCTCCGCCAGCCCGAGCCCTACTGCATCGTCAGCCACCTCCAGGTGAGCCCGGGGGGAACCGCGCTCCGGGGCACTGCGCTCGACTGCGGGGCTGGAACGGGGCGAGCACCGTGCACGTGAGGAGCCCTGCGCCTCGCCAAAGCAGCCCGGGTCCAGAGACCCCCTCGCGGCTTTCGACTTCTGCCCCCCGTCCCTTATCGAGGTTAAAGAGGAGGAATGTGCCGCGGGAAGTTCAATTAGTTTATTTCCAGAGTTGCTCGGAGCCGTCTAGACGGCTTCCTGATTGAGAGTGGTCTGTAGGACCCGGGTAATGTTTTGGCCGCTATTACTGTAATGTAATTACATTTCTAAGGTTTCCAAGCGAAGGGATGCAAATAAGCTTGCCTTGCACATCTGGTGGAAAACACTGAGCTCGTTACTCTTTGAGCCAGAAGCAGCTCACCAGACTTAAAAAATTTCAGAGACAGAAGGGATTCTGGAAAGAATAAAGTATCGGTTATAAGTGGAACTCTGTTGGACTGAAAGCAAGGGATAATCTCCGGCCGAATTTACTGTGGAGACAATAGGGCCGGATTCTGGCACTTGGAAGGAAAACCACGGGAAGCAGAAGGAGTGCTGCCTGAAGGGCTGTAGCACTTGGCCCATTTGTACCCTGAAGTTACCAAATTCCCCACCCCGCCTTCCCCTTCAGGTTTACTGTTCTGCTCTGTCTAGCAGAGTTAGTGCTTGTTTTGACCTAAGTTTCTCTGGGACATTTTCGGGCTATGTCAGGATTAACTTTAACAACATGAGCACCTCTGGTAGAGCAAAATAACAAAGGTGCTTTGTTCTGTTTTCTGAATTGCCGAAGTGCTGTAGTAAAAAGCATCACTTCAGACCTTCACTCCTGACCTCACAGCCCCAGTTCAGCATTTGGGATGTCCCTGGTTACTTATGCATAGTAAGGTGGTATTGAAATCGCAGGAAGGTGCCAAGTATCCTCTTAATAACACGGAGCTTGGGTGGGATGAGTGCTTTGCAGGGTTGGGCTTTCTAGGATTGCGTTTTAGTGGGAGAAGCAGCAAGTCGTGGCATGAGGCAGGGGCTGTGGTGCTGGCAGAGAGGGGCCTGGAGGGGGGAGAAGGGGACATCTTTCCCAGGACCCTGCTCTTGTCATGCTCTCTGCTGGAGGAGTCTTTGGGAGCTAATGGGGGGTGAAGCATGGGGCTTGGGAGGAGGTGGAATTGGTGAAGTGGGAGTCCTGTGTGGCGCAGACCTGCCAGCCCTCACATTCTTGGCTGATAAAGCGCCGCCGCATTTGTCTCCATAAACCCGCTGGAGGAATGATGCCTGTGTAGCTTCTGACAGTGATGAGCTGCTGGTGTGTGGGGGCTCCCTCACTGCAGTGTGATGTGCTCCTCTGCCAAACCATGAGGTGGTTTGGGCAGCAGTCCTCCCTTCTGGTTCGGTTTGCAACTTGCCTTGGAAAGTGGTGGGTTTAGGCACCAGTACAATGCCAAACCAGCATTGTTCGTAGTAACAGTCATGACAGAGTTTTGTCCTCCTGGCAAAGGCGCATCCAGCTTTCCCAAGCAGCACTTGCCAGATTTGCACCCAACTGTTTTTCTGTGGGCACACCTGGTAATGCGTGCAGACTGAGTTTGTGTGCATAGCTTGAGTGTTGCAATGGCAGGTGGAGATGCAAGGTTTAGGTAGGAGCTTGAGAAGCAGGATTCAGGGTAAAATCAACACTGTGCTGGAAAGACTCAGTCACTAAATCACTGAGGCTCACTGGAGGTATCCCTAATGCCGAGAGCTTACATTTCCAAGCTAGCTCCCAAAAGCCAACGTTATTTCACACAAGCTGTTGAAGATGCAGTTTTGCACGTGTGTTTGTATAGAAGCAACTCAGCAATTTTCTGTAGATGTTGCCTTTGGTTCTGACTTCAGCTGGAGAATCTCTTGAGATAGATTTTCTGAAACTGCAATTTTGATAGAAAAATACTTCTCCTAAAAATGAAGTCTGTGGAATTCTGGGCATATTTTCCATTTGGCAATTTTCATTAATTCATAAAGGTAAATATACTTACCGTTTCAACAAAAATCCCCTTTGATGACTCCTGCAGGCAAAATGAGTGGAATGTGATATGGACGGAAAACACTCTTATCTGCAGGAAACAACTATTGCCCCACGGATAAAATCAGTAATGCTGGTTATTTTGTTGTTTCAGGAGGACAAAAAATGTTTCATATGTGACTCCGAGGATCCCTTCCACGATACTCTCAATCCTGACAGTCATCGTATTGAAAACGTTGTCACCACATTCGCTCCCAATCGCCTGAAGCTCTGGTGGCAGTCAGAAAATGGTATGGAGGGGGGAGCTGTTTCCAGGGCTAGAAGCTGCTTCCCCTCCTTTTGTTTAAGGGTACCTGCAGGTTTGTTGTTATCTCTGGCCTGCTGATTACTGCCCTGGGAAGGATCATGCTGTTCCAGGAGGACTGAGTAAAACTGGCTGCTTTTTTGTGCCCTGGAGCAGTCCTTAATCCATAATGAAGCCCCCTCCGCAGCCCCGTCATCCCTCTGGGAGTGTTGGAATGAGCCCACTGTGCAGGGATTCCTAAAGAGAACAGTTTCCCGCGCTGGCTCCAGATCTCCCTCGTGTTTGGGCAGTGGGAGCGGAGCAGCCTTCCAGGAGAAATATCCCATGGCGGCGCTGCCAAGGGAGCACCACAGGGCTTCCCTGGCGCTGAGCTGGACAAGGGTGTGGAGGGAAGGAGGAGGTTTGGTACTGCCGTCCTGCCCACAGACCTCCCTTTTCCCCTCCTACCCTGGCGGAGCAAAGCCGGGGGTATCTCTCACCCAGCAAACAGCCTCTCTCCCGGCTCCCTGAATGTCTGCGTCCATACACCAGACAATAAAATGAACACCAGAAACAAGCCAGCTAGTTAGAACAAAACCCAACATATTGCGTGTTCATTTGGTGGCTTTGTTTTAAATCCTTCCTCTGCCCTTTTTACTTTTATGGTTATGCTTTGGCATGCCTTCATACACAAAACAAGGCACTGAGGTTTCTCAAACAGCAGTCCTACCCTGAAGCCTTAAAGCCAGCTGGACGGGATGGGATTTCTGCAAATGCATTGGCAGAAGCTGTCTTGCTGTATATGAAAAGAAATGGCAATATTTGTAACATTTCTGCAGGCCAGTAAAGAAAGGTTTTCACTAACTCATTTTTAACCATTGCTGGATGAGCCTCTTGTTTCCAGCAGCTCTCTTCTAGCGTTCCAGATAATTCATGTTTTTTGCAACAGGCTTGGCAGCATCCACACAAAAAAGTTCTTAGCTCATAAGGTCATGAAAATGTCCTTCAACAATAAAAAACAAATGATTCTTTCTGTCCATGTTTTCTTCTATTCAGGCATAGAGCAGAAGGAAGCATTGCTGCACGCTCCTCATAATGTTACAGCTGGTCAAAAATTGAAGCGCTTTGTGGGTTTATTATTTTCATTTCTTACCCTTTCTCCTCTCTGTGTATCTTGATTTATCTTTTAATTTCTGCATAATGAGCATCCAGCTGTTTTGAGAGGCCTTTTCACATGACAAAATAATGTTTGTAACTGTTTTTCTTCCTTTCTGCATAGAGTCCTTGACTGTAGGTAGTCACACAGCAGAGGCTGGAAAACCTTTTGCTTCTCACCAGTTTCCTAGCTCTCATGATTGCAAAGTAGGGCCATAGTACTTGCTTTAGGAGTACTTCCAAACCAGGTTGTAAAAGAACTCTTCCTTCATCTGGATGGGCAGGAGAGTCCAGAGCAAGTGAAGAAAGGGGGAAAACAGCTCCCAGCAGCTGTTGGTGATATTTAGAGTGTTAGGGCTGCAGAAGCTCAAGCCTCTGCTGGTGCCAGGTGGACTGCCAGTGTATGAGGATAGTCTGGGGTCACCACACAGGTCCATGCTCAGCATCCCCAGTTGAAACAGCCCCTGGGTGCTTTGGTGGCCGTATCTAGCCCACAGCAGTCCCCATCCTTACCCTCCATCTAGTGATGTTAGCCGTGTTACACAGCCTGAAATAATGGCAATGCAGGCTCACGCTTTGAGTGTAGCAGATGATGCATAA